GGTTTAAGTATTTTAAATATTGCACAAGGGGGCACATTTTGAGCAATAAGTTTTTAGGGCAAATAGAAAAAAAGGTTTTATTTTTAGGGGAGTTTAGGTCAATGGCAGTATGTGGGTAAATTAATTTTGTTAATAATATAAATGAGCGTGATGGGTGGGAAAAAGAAGTTTTTGTAATGAATATAATGTCTGGGGAAAGAGGCAGTTATTTTTGGAAATTCTAGGGGGGTGACTATTTGTTAAATACTTTGAGATACTTTCTGTTCCGGGGGTTTCAGAATGCTAACGATCTTAGGAGTATTGGGGGGTAGGGGGGTTTACGCGCGGAAAGGGGGGGCATCTCATAGAGAATTCAGCGGAAAGACCAGTAACCTTATGCTCGTGATATCAGTTATGTACTTATATCAAGCTGGGACTTCAAATCATTCATGGTTTGTCCTATTTCAAGGAAAATGTTCAACCTTGACTGTTACTGACCGTAATGCACTCTGAAATGTCAATTGAAAGGAGAAAAAAAAAAGGAAACCCCTTACCCGCTGGAAAGAACGCCCGGCATGTTGGGTAACGAGTCTAATGATCGCCACCATTAACTTATGCAAGCGTCAATGAAAGTGGAGGGAAGAACCAAGTCATGGACCTGAAATAGGAACCAAATGCCAGGAATAATTCACTGAGTGTGACCCCCACGATTATTGTCCCTGACCATCAAGAACCGTTATTACGACATACGACTGGTTGGTGGTCTCTTACTGCGCATTATTTTTCTATGTTAGGGATGGGGGTACTTGGTTTAACTTTACTAATACATTGAGGTGTTAGGTCTTAAATGTATTTAGTGGAATTTTTCATTATATTAATTCTTGTTTAGTTGTGAAGAAGTTTTAAGGGAAAAGTTCATTTAATGTTATTACATAATCATGGTTTAAGTACATGTATGTAAATTTATATGATATGCATTGAATGAATATGGTCTATATAGTTATATGGTGAAATTACATACATGTAATTCAAAAAATAGTTTAATAGAATCCCAGCTTTGGGGGTTGGGGGTGGAAGTTAAAATCTTCTTTTTTTGAGTAATGAGAGGGATTTGAACCTTCAATTTTCGACTTACAAGGCCGATGCTTTGAGCTAAGCTATCATTACAGTTGAGTTTTAAGGTTTTGTTTTCATACCAGCTGGCTAGGGGGAAGAAGAATAGGAAGAGGGAGAAATATAAGACAGATGCGACTCGCCCAATGGTAATGAATGGGTATTCTACAGGTATGCCGCCGATTCAAGTAAGGATGGCTACAGTGGCAATTAATGTTCAGAAGACGAGTTGGGAGATTGGGCGGAAAGTTATGCTTTGTTGTTTAGACATGTGTAGGAAGGGGACAAGTATAAGCACGAAGATTGAGGCGGCCAGGGCAATTACTCCGCCTAGTTTGCTAGGAACAGAGCGTAAAATTGCGTAAGCGAATAGAAAATATCATTCGGGTTTGATGTGGGGGGGTGTAATAAGGGAGTTTGCTTGGGTAAAGTTGTCTGGGTCGCTTAGAAGGTTTGGGGAGAATAGCGATATTAGGGTTAGTAGTAGGAAAAATAGGAGATAGCCAAATAAGTCTTTAAAGGAGTAGTAGGGGTGAAATGGAATTTTGTCTATATTTGAGTTAAGGCCTGCAGGGTTATTTGAGCCTGTTTCGTGGAGGAAAATAAGGTGGATAAAAGATATGGCTACAATGAGGAAGGGAAGGAAAAAATGGAATGAGAAGAAGCGAGTGAGTGTGGCGTGGTCGACTGAGTAGCCCCCTCAAACTCAGTTGACTATTTGAGGGCCGGTATAAGGGGCGGCGGATAAAAGGTTAGTGATGACTGTGGCACCTCAGTAAGATATTTGTCCTCATGGAAGAACGTAGCCTACAAAGGCAGTGGCTATGAGCAAGAGGAGAAGGGCTACCCCTGAGAGTCATGTCTCTTTATAGAGGTAAGACCCATAGTATAGGCCTCGTCCAATGTGGAGGTAGATGCAGATAAAGAAAAAGGAGGCGCCGTTTGCATGTAGGGCTCGAATAAGTCAGCCGTTGTTTACATCTCGGCAGATGTGGGCTACTGATGCAAAAGCGGTAGAGATGTCTGCTGAGTAGTGCATAGTGAGGAGGATGCCAGTGAGGATTTGTAGGGTCAAACAGAGGCCTAAGAGGGAACCAAAGTTTCATCAGGCGGAGATGTTTGATGGGGAGGGGAGGTCAATCAATGCGCCGTTGATGATTTTTAATAAAGGATGTCGTTTTCGTAGGGCCATTACTAATTCTTGTAGTTGAAATACAACGGTGGTTTTTCAAGCCATTAGTTTTGGTTAAAGTCCTAACAGGAATTATGTCATATCTTGTGTGTGTGCTCTTATTTGGTTTAATGGTGGGATCAGTTGGTGTTGCTTCAAATCCGTCACCGTATTTTGCGGCCATAGGGCTGGTTATGGTATCGGGGGTAGGTTGTGGGGTGTTGATTTGTTTTGGGGGTTCTTTTTTACCGCTGGTCTTTTTTTTAATTTATTTAGGGGGGATGATAGTGGTGTTTGCTTTTTCTGCGGCTCTCTCTGCGGAGCCATATCCTTATGGGTGGGGCAATCGGTCGGTTAAAATATATGTAGCGGCATATGTGCTTGGGGTCGGATGTGCGTGGAAGGTGTTATTAGGGAAGTGAAGTGGGTTTTGAGGGGGGATTTTAGATGAATCGGGGGAGTTGCTTGTGTTGCGGGGGGATATAATAGGGGTTGCTGCGATACATGATGTGGGAGGTTGAATGTTAGTGTTGGGGGGTTTGGGCCTGTTGCTCACTTTATTTGTTGTGTTGGAGCTGGTTCGAGGTGTAAGTCGGGGAGGGCTACGGACGGTCTAATAGTAGTTTAGTAAAATGATAATTATTAATGTGGTGAAGAATAGGGAGAGAAATGTTTTGATTATACCTTTTTGGATGTTGCTTGTGGTTGTTGCAAGGGAGAGGTTTAGAGAGGTAATAGTTTTAGGGCCTGTTTTTTCCAACCAGGTCTGGTCGATGGTTATAGTAGCAATGGTTTGGCTTAGTTTTAGGAAGGTATAGGGGAAGAAGCGGTGTATGATTGTGGGGTAATAGCCTAGTATGGTAGAGAAGTAGAAGTATTGTTTTGGTATGTAGGGACGTTGTTTGTTAGTAAAAAGGGCGAGCTCTAGGGCAATGGTGAGGCCTAAAATAGTAATTACTAAGGCAGTTAGTTTGATGTAGGGGGGTATGGATAGCATAGGGGGCTTGGGAGGGAGGACTGCGCAAGTTATTAGGAGCCCGGCTAAAATGGTTCCTCATGCAAGTCGTTTGAGGGGGTTGGTAATAGATTTAATGTTTTCGTTGATAGGGGAGAGGGCTGGAAACCGGGGAAAATTTATGTTAACAAAAAAGATTATTCGTAAGCTGTACGCGGCGGTAAGAGAGGTAGCTAGAAGGGTGAGGGCAAGGGCTCAGGCGTTAAGGTAAGAGTTGTTTAGGGCTTCAATGATGGCGTCTTTTGAGAAGAAGCCCGCTAGGAAGGGGGTTCCTATCAGGGCTAGGCTTCCAATAGTAAGGCAGGAGGTGGTAGTGGGGATTAAATAGTGAAGGCCTCCTATTTTTCGAATATCTTGTTCGTTATTTAGGGCGTGAATAATAACACCGGAGCAGAGGAAGAGTATTGCTTTGAAAAAGGCGTGGGTGCAAATGTGTAGAAAGGCAAGATATGGTTGGTTTAGGCCGATAGTAACTATTATTAGGCCTAGTTGGCTGGATGTGGAAAATGCAATGATTTTTTTAATGTCGTTCTGTGTTAAAGCACAAATTGTGGTGAATAGTGTAGTGAGTGCGCCTAGGATAAGGCAGGTAGTTAGGGCGAAGGGGTTGTCTTGTATGAGAGGGCTTAGACGTACAAGAAGAAAAATACCTGCGACAACTATTGTGCTTGAGTGAAGTAGGGCAGAGACAGGAGTGGGGCCTTCTATGGCAGATGGGAGTCAAGGATGTAGGCCAAATTGAGCAGATTTTCCCGTGGCTGCAAGGATTAGTCCAATGAGGGGTGCATTTATATCTAGGGATTTGGCTGTAATAAATATTTGTTGTATTTCTCAAGAGTTTAAGTTGGTGGCTATTCATCCTAGTGCAAAAATAAGTCCAACATCTCCAACTCGGTTGTAAAGGACTGCTTGAAGTGCAGCGGTGTTTGCGTCTGCTCGGGCTCATCATCAGCCAATGAGTAGGAAGGATATAATTCCTACTCCCTCTCACCCAATGAATAGTTGAAATATATTATTCGCGGTCACAAGGGTGACTATGGCAATGAGGAAAATGAGGAGGAATTTAAAGAACTGGTTGATGTTTGGGTCAGATTTTATGTATCAGGATGCGAATTCTAAGATGGCTCAGGTTACGTATAGAGCAATGGGGACAAATGTAATGGAGAGGTGGTCTAGTTTAAAGCTAGTGTTGATGTCAAAGGTTATAATATTTATTCAGTGTAGGTTAGTGATTGTAAGTTCTGTACCTGTGTGCAGGTGCAAGAAAAGGGGGAGAAGGCTAGTAAAGAAGGCTATTTTGACGGCTGTTTTGATGTGGTGTGTGTGTCAGTTGGGGTTTAGAGATTTATATAGAATAGAGGTAAAGACAGGAGAGATTAAGATTACCAAGGTAATAATAAAGCTTGTGGTTAAGATGATGTGAAGAGAGGGCATAACTTCTGCTTGGAGTTGCACCAAGGAAAGGTGGTTCCTAAAACCAGTGGATTACTTCTGTCCTACAGAAGTTTGAGGGGGCCTTGGATTTTAACCAGGGCAATATTAAGTTAGCAGTTATTATTGTTGCAAACCCGCTCGGTGAATGAGAGGGTTCAAACCTCTATATTTAGAATCACAATCTAATGTTTTTGTTAAACTACCTTTACAGTAGGCCGACCCTCAGATAGTCGTAGGCTTAAAGACTAGGAGGAGGAGGGGTAAGAGGTGGAGGGTGAGTAGTAAGTGCTCTCGTGAGTGAGAGGGGTTTATTGAGATTATATGGTTTGGGACTGGCCCTCGTTGGGTTATTAGGTATATGTAGAGGGAGTAGGTGGCAGTAATTAGTGCCCCTGCCCCAGTAAAGATAATAGTTCATCATGACCAGCCAAGTAGGGCTGAGATAATGATTAGTTCTCCTATGAGGTTAGGGAGTGGGGGTAGGGCGAGGTTAGCTAAACAGGTGATTAATCATCATGTTGCTATTAAAGGTAGGATTATTTGTGAGCCCCGAGTAAGGATTATTGTGCGGCTGTGGGTGCGTTCGTAATTAGTATTTGCTAGGCAGAATAGGGCGGAAGAGGTGAGGCCATGGGCAATTATAAGGATGAGGGCTCCGGTAAGGCCTCAGGGGGTTTGGATGAGGATAGCTGCAGCGACAAGGCCTATGTGGCTTACAGAGGAATAAGCAATTAGTGATTTAAGGTCAGTTTGGCGAAGGCAAATTGAGCTAGTTATAAGTACTCCTCATAGGGCTAGAATAATAAATGGGTAGCATAGTTCTTTGGCTAGGGGGCTAAGAATTAGTATCATTCGTATCATTCCGTAACCGCCTAGCTTTAATAAGACGGCGGCAAGGATTATTGAGCCTGCGATTGGGGCCTCTACGTGGGCTTTGGGGAGTCAGAGGTGGACCCCATAGAGAGGCATCTTTACTAAGAAGGCCAGGAGAGAGGTGGTTCATCAAATAATGTTGACATAGGGGGAGATAGGGATTGGACCTAATAGTTGAATAATCAGTAGGGATAGGGTACCCGTTTTATTTTGTAAAGCTAAGAGGGTAATTAAGAGGGGGAGAGAGCTGGCTAAGGTATAAAACAAAAAGTATGTTCCGGCATTGAGGCGTTCTATCTGGTTGCCCCATCGTGTGATGAGGATAAGTGTTGGGATTAAAGTTGTTTCAAATATAACATAGAATATGGTGAGCTCAGTAGCAGCAAAAGCTATAATCAGGGAGAGTTGAAGGGTCACTAGTAGGGTAATATAGATGCGTTGTCGTACAAGGGGGTCTTGTGCAAGGTGATTTTGGCTAGCGAGAATTATCAGGGGGAGTAGCCAACAAGTGAGGGTCAAAAGTGGGGAAGATAGGGGGTCTGTTGCTATGTAGGGGTTAAGCGTAGATCAGTTTGTTTCGGAGGTGTTTTTCAGCCAGGCGAGACTGAATAGTGTGATAATGAAACTATGGAGGAGAGTGGTTGGCCATAGTCATTTGGCTTTGGCAAGTCAGGAGGTTGGAATGAGGAGGAGGGTTGGAATAAGAATTTTTAACACTGCAGGAGGTTGAGGTTTTGTATGTGGTCAGAGCCATGGGTGCGGGCAGTGGCAACTAGTAGGGCTAGGCCAGAGCTTGCTTCACAGGCTGAGAAAGCTAGGAGTAGTATGGGGACAGTTGCGATGTTAATGGTACTTAGTTGTAGGGCTCATAAGGAAGTTGCCAGGAATAGCGATAATATTATGCTTTCAAGACATAATAGGGCCGAAAGGAGGTGGGTTCGGTGAAATGTTAAGCCTATTAGGCCAAGGAGGAACATGGTTGAGAAAGTTATTTGAATGGGGGTCATAAGGTAGTTATGGGGTTAAACCATAAGCTTTTGAGTCGAAATCAAGTGTTTTGTTTAAACTAAAAACCTATTCGGCCCATTCTAGTCCGCCTTGTTGTCATTCGTAGATTAAGCCAAGGGTGAGTAAAATTAGGATAGTGGAGGCCCAGAAAAAGGTGTGATTAGGGAGGGGGAGTTGGCTACTTCAAGGGAGGGGGAGGAGGAGGGCAATCTCTAGGTCAAATAGTAGAAATAGGATAGCTACCAAGAAAAAGCGGATGGAGAAAGGAAGACGGGCTGACCCTAAGGGGTCAAAACCACATTCGTATGGTGATAGCTTTTCATAGTCGGGGGTTATTATTGGTAGTCAAAATGAGATGAGTATAAGAGCTATTGGGATGAGTGTAGTTATTAGTATGAATGCAATAATTAAGTTTATTATCCTTCTTTGGGGTTAAACCAAAATCTAGTGATTGGAAGTCAATAATACTGTTTGTACTAGAAAGATAAGAGCCTCATCAGTAGATTGAAATATATAGGAATAGTCAAACGACGTCTACAAAGTGTCAGTATCAGGCTGCGGCTTCGAAGCCGAAGTGGTGATTTGATGTGAAGTGGTAGTGGGTGTGGCGTAGTAGGCAGACTATTAAGAAAGTGGTTCCGATGATGACGTGCAGGCCATGGAAGCCAGTTGCTACAAAGAAAGTGCAGCCGTAGACACCGTCAGCAAGGGTAAAGGGGGCCTCATAATATTCTATTGCTTGAAGGGCTGTAAAGTATAAGCCTAGGAGAACCGTTAGGGTTAGGCTTTGAAGGGCTGGTTTTCGTGCGCCTTCTATGATGCTGTGGTGGGCTCATGTGACTGTTACTCCGGAGGCGAGGAGAACAGCTGTGTTTAGTAATGGAACTTCAAATGGGTCTAAAGGGGTGATTCCTGTAGGGGGTCAAAGACCTCCTAGCTCAATAGCAGGGGCGAGGCTGGAGTGGTAAAAGGCTCAAAAGAAGCCAATGAAGAAAAAGACTTCAGAGGTGATGAAGAGGACTATTCCATATCGAAGGCCTTTTTGGACAGGGGTTGTATGGTGACCTTGGAAGGTACTTTCTCGGATGATGTCTCGTCATCATTGGAACATAGTAAGGAGAAGAAGGGTTGTGCCGAGGAAAAGAAGGGTGGTGGTTTTGTAGTGGAATCAGGTTGCGAGGCCAGAGGTTATTAGGAGGGCGGAGATTGCGCCGGTTAGTGGTCAGGGGCTGGGGTCAACTATGTGGTATGCGTGTGCTTGATGGGCCATTAGGAATTTTCTTGTAAGTAAAGGCTTAGAAGTAGGACAAAGACGTAAGCTTGAATTATTGCGACGGCAATCTCTAAAAGGGTTAGCAGGAGCAGTAGAATAGATGTAAGTGTGGCGATGGCAGGTATAATTGATATGAATGCTAAGGTGGCAGTGGCAATTAGTTGAATTAATAGGTGGCCGGCGGTGAGGTTGGCTGTTAGCCGTACTCCTAGGGCGAAGGGGCGGATTAGTAAGCTGATTGTTTCGATAATAATAAGTACTGGAACTAGTAGTGTAGGGGTGCCTTCTGGAAGAAGGTGGGCTAGGCTGAGTGTGGGTTGGTTTCGGAACCCTACTAGAACAGTAGCTAGTCATAGCGGGACAGCGAGACCTATATTTATGGATAGTTGTGTTGTAGGGGTAAAGGTATAGGGAAGTATTCCTAAGAGATTTAGGGAAATAATATAAAGTATTAGAGAGACTAAGAGAGTTGCCCATAGGTGGACTTTAGGGGTTGAGGAGGCTAAAAGTTGTTTTGCGAACCGACCAATAAATCAATTTTGAAGGGTTAGGGTGCGATTGCTTAGTCATCGTGGAGAGGGGGAGGGGTAAAAAGCTCAGGGCAGGATCAGTGCGAGTAGAATTAAAGGGATGGTTAGGAAGACAGGGCTCTCAAATTGGCTAAAGGAGTTTACTATCATGGTCAACTTCAGGACTCTGTTTTGGGGCTTTCAGTAGTTTTACTAGTAGGGGGATTTGGGTAAGTGTGGGCAACCACTTTATGGGGAATAATTAAAATGAAGACTAGTCATGAGAAGATTAAAATGTAGAACCAAGGAGCAGGATTAAGCTGGGGCATGTCGCTAAGGGTGAGCGGTAATCACCTAGGGTTAACTTAAAAGGTTAATGCTAAAACCTATTAGCTTCTGAGCGAAATTTTAGCTAGTATAGAGGTTGATCAGTCTTCGAAGTGGATAAGTGGAATAGCCTCTACGGAGATTGGTATAAAGCTGTGGTTTGCTCCGCAAATTTCAGAACATTGGCCATAAAATACTCCAGGGTGGGATACCACGAAAGTGGTTTGATTTAACCGTCCGGGAATTGCGTCTATTTTTACCCCAAGAGTTGGCACAGCTCAGGAGTGAATAACATCATCAGCAGTAATTAACATTCGAACAGGAGAGTCAGTTGGGACTACCATCCGGTGGTCTGTCTCTAATAGCCGAAATTGACCAGGAATCAGGTCTTGTGTGGGGATTATGTAAGAGTCAAACTCTAGGTTTTTGTAGTCAGTATATTCATAGCTTCAGTATCATTGGTGTCCGATAGTTTTTACTGTTAGATGAGGATTATTTACTTCATCCATCATGTATAGGACGCGGAGGGAGGGTATAGCGATTAAGATAAGAATTAGTGCTGGGGCAATGGTTCAGATAGTCTCAATTCCTTGTGAGTCTAGCATGTTTTTATTGGTGAGTTTAGTTGTTACTGTAGTGAGGATGGTATAAAACACTATAGTACTAACTAAAAGTGCGATTATTAAGGTATGGTCATGGAATTGAATAAGTTCTTCTATTACAGGGGAAGTAGCATCTTGTAGGCCTAATTGAAGGGGATATGCCATTATTTAAAATTGGCAGGGGGTTAGTCTGCAACTTTGCTCTGACAAGGCAATGTAATGATTTACTACAATCTTATAAGAAAGTGACAGAGTGGTTATGTGGTTGGCTTGAAACCAACATACGGAGGTTCAATTCCTTCCTTTCTCGGTGGTGGTTAACTTGTACGAAGGCGGGCTCTTCAAATGTGTGGTAGGGGGGAGGGCAGCCGTGCAATCATTCAAGATTGGTTGTAGTGTGTGAGATAGAAAGGACTTCACGTTTAGCGGCAAAGGCTTCTCAGATAATTAATAGAAACATGATAACAGCAACGAGGGAGATTAGGGACCCAAAAGAGGAGATCGTATTTCAGAAGGTGTAGGCATCAGGGTAGTCTGAGTATCGTCGGGGCATGCCTGCTAGGCCCAGGAAGTGTTGAGGGAAGAAAGTGAGGTTGACACCAACGAACATTACGCCGAAGTGGATTTTTGTTCAGACGTTATGGAGGGTGTAGCCTGAGAACAGGGGGAATCAGTGTGCGAAGGCAGCAAAGATTGCAAATACGGCGCCTATTGATAATACATAATGGAAGTGGGCTACTACATAATAGGTGTCATGAAGTATAATGTCTAGTGAAGAGTTGGCTAAGACAACACCTGTTAGGCCTCCTATTGTGAAGAGGAAAATAAAACCTAAAGCTCAGAGGAGGGGGGTTTCTCATTTGATTTGTCCCCCGTGGAGGGTAGCAAGTCAGCTAAAGACTTTTACCCCGGTAGGAATTGCGATAATTATTGTAGCGGAGGTAAAGTAGGCTCGTGTGTCAACGTCTATCCCGACTGTGAATATATGATGAGCTCAAACAATAAAGCCTAGTAGGCCAATGGCTATTATTGCTCACACTATCCCTATATAGCCGAAAGGTTCTTTTTTACCAGCATAAAAGGTAACGATATGAGAGATTATTCCAAAGCCTGGAAGAATCAAGATATATACTTCAGGGTGGCCGAAGAATCAGAATAGGTGTTGGTACAGGATGGGGTCCCCCCCTCCAGCAGGGTCAAAGAAAGTTGTGTTAAGGTTTCGGTCCGTTAGTAATATTGTAATTCCGGCTGCTAGCACAGGGAGCGATAGAAGGAGAAGAATGGCTGTGATTATGACAGATCATACGAATAGGGGGGTTTGATACTGAGAAATTGCGGGAGGTTTTATGTTGATGATGGTTGTGATAAAGTTGATGGCCCCAAGAATTGAAGAAACACCTGCTAGGTGTAAGGAGAAGATTGTAAGGTCAACAGAGGCGCCTGCGTGAGCAAGGTTTCCAGCGAGAGGGGGGTAGACAGTTCAACCTGTTCCCGCCCCGGCTTCAATGCCGGCGGAGGCTAAGAGTAATAGAAAAGAGGGGGGGAGGAGTCAAAAGCTTATGTTGTTTATTCGGGGAAAGGCTATGTCTGGGGCCCCGATTATTAGTGGGACTAACCAGTTTCCAAAGCCCCCGATTATGATAGGTATTACTATAAAGAAGATTATAATAAATGCATGCGCTGTTACAATAACATTGTAGATTTGGTCATCCCCTAGGAGGGAGCCGGGCTGGCAGAGTTCGGCTCGAATTAATAGGCTCAGGGCTATGCCTACTATGCCTGCTCAGGCACCGAATACTAGATATAGGGTGCCAATGTCTTTGTGGTTGGTTGAGAAGAATCAGCGTGTAATTGTCACAGGTAAGATGGCTGAGTAAGTGGGGGACTGTAAATCCCTATACGGAGGTGTAAGGCCTCCTCTTTCCAAACTCGGAGGTGTTACACATAAGATTGCAAATCTTAAGAGGCAACTAACAACTGCCCGGGTTTTCTCCGCCTTTTTTAAGGAGGCGGAGAAAATAGGAAGACGCTTGTTGGTTTGAGCGCTTAGCTGTTAACTAAGATTTTGTAGGATCGAGGCCTGCCTTTCTAGGAAGGCTTTAGCTTAATGAAAGTGTCTGTTTTGCATGCAGGAGATGTGGGGTAGTATCCCGCAAGTCTTATCAGGGACTGGGGGGATTTCACCCTCACTGGGGGCTTTGAAGGCCCCTGGTCTAGTATTAGCCTAAGTTCCTTAAATGATTAAGGTTAGGGCTGAAGGGGTTAGTGGTAATAAAAAGAGGGTTAAAGCTAGGGCGGCAGGGAGGGCGGAGGAAAGAGGGGTGGAGATAGGGTAATTTACTCGTCATTGCAGGCACTCTGGCAGGTTGTTTGGGGAGAGGGAAAGGGTAATTGAGTAAGAGAGGCGGAGGTAGTAGTAAAGGCTAAGAAGGGCTGCTAGGGCAGCAATAGAGGCGTGAGGAATAAAGTTTTGTTGAGTGAGCTCTTGAAGAATAAATCATTTTGGTGCGAAGCCGGAGAGGGGGGGAAGTCCTCCTAGAGATAGGAGTATAAGGGGGGCAACTAAAGTAATGGTAGGAGCTTTTGTTCAGGTGGTTGTTAACATATTGATGGTAGTGGCTTTACATTTCTTAAGAGTAATGAATGTTGCTGAGGTTATGAAGATGTAAATAAGTAGAGCGAAGGTAGCGAGCGCAGTAGAGTGTTGTAAAATTAGTACTATTCACCCCAAGTGGGCAATTGAAGAGTAGGCTAGGATTTTCCGCAGTTGTGTTTGATTTAAGCCACCTCAGCCCCCAATGAGAATAGAGGCTAGGCCAATAATGGTTAAAAGGGGTGGGTGGATTTGTTTGATTTGTAGGAGAAGGATGAAAGGGGCAATTTTTTGTCATGTAGAGACGATAAGTCCTGTATTTAGGCTCACTCCTTGGATTACTTCAGGCATTCATGTGTGTATAGGAGCTAGGCCTAGTTTTAGTAAGAGAGCTAAGGTAATTATTGAAGTGAAGAGGGGGTGGGATATGTGTTGAATGTCTCAGTGTCCTTGGAGTCATGCGTTGTTGATGGCAGCGAAAAGAAGTGTAGCTGCTGCAGTGGCTTGAACGATGAAATATTTAGTTGCGGCCTCGGTGGCTCGGGGGTGGTGAGGTTGGGCTATTAGGGGGAGGATAGCAAGGGTGCCTACTTCTAACCCAAGTCAGGCGAGGAGTCAATGGGTGCTAGAGAGGGTAAGGGCTGTGCCTAGTCCGAGGCTGGTTAACAGAACGATTAACAGGTAAGGGTTCATGTTTTGCATGGGAAGGGGTTAATCTTCATTTTTGGGGTATGGGCCCAATAGCTTAGTTTTAGCTGACCTTGCTAGAAAGTGGTGTAGTGGAAGCACAAAGAGTTTTGAGCTCTTTGGGGAGGGTTCGAGACCCTTTTTTCTAATTTAAGAGTCGGATGGAGTTTAACCTTCATAATCCACTCTATCAAAGTGGTCCTTTAATTCAGGCACGGCTCTAGGCCCTAAAGTTGGGGAGGAAGCCCAGTGAGGGCAATTGGGAGGGCTAAGTGTCAGATTACTATGGCCAGGGTAAGGGGGAGAAAACTCTTTCAGGTTAGGTGTATAAGTTGGTCGTAACGAAATCGTGGGTATGAGGCTCGGACTCATAGGAATAGGATTGAGAGGAGGGCTGTTTTGGTTATTAGATTAGTGGTTATTAGTTCTGGAGAGAAGAGGGTGTTAGAGGAGCCAAGGAAAAGAATGACTGAGAGGGTATTTATTAGGAGAATATTGGCGTATTCTGCCAGAAAAAATAAGGCGAAGGGGCCCCCAGCATATTCTACGTTGAAGCCAGAGACTAGTTCAGATTCGCCCTCTGTCAGGTCGAATGGGGATCGGTTGGTTTCTGCAAGGGTGGAGACATATCATATTGCAGCAAGAGGCCAGGAGGGGAGGATTAGTCATATATTTTCTTGGGTAACGTTGAAGGTTTCAAGGTTGAATCCGCCAGATAAAATGATAATGCATAGGAGGAGAAGGCCAAGTGTAACTTCATATGAAATAGTTTGGGCTACTGCTCGTAGCGCTCCAATGAGGGCATATTTTGAGTTTGATGCTCAGCCTGAACCTAAAAGTGAGTATACGGTGAGGCTGGAGAGAGCCAGGATGAACAGAATGTTTAGGTTCAGGTCGGCGGCTGGAGAAGGGAGGGGGAGGGGGGCTCATAAGGTAAGGGCGAGGGTGAGGGCTAACATAGGGGAAAGGATAAATAGAATTTGGGATGAGGTTGAGGGGAGGATAGGTTCTTTAACAAAGAGTTTTAGCCCGTCAGCAATGGGTTGAAGTAGGCCGTAGGGTCCAACAATGTTGGGACCTTTTCGTAGTTGTATATATCCAATAATTTTTCGTTCTAGGAGAGTTAGTAGTGCGACGGCTAAGAGGATGGGAATAATCAAGGCGAGGGGGTTAATAATGTAGTTTATAATGGTAGGAAGCATTTTTGATGAGAGGATTTGAACCTCCACGGGAAAGTGCTTAGGACTATTGCAGGACCGGGTTCTGCCACATCAGAATATCTTAGTCTAAGATTTTAAGTTACTTTCTAACGTCAATTGATTTGGGTTCATTGAGGTAGAATAAGGTGTGCTTAAGGCAGGGACCTTGTTTTTTTGGTCCTTTCGTACTGGAAAAAACTGTATCATAGATAGAAACTGACCTGGATTACTCCGGTCTGAACTCAGATCACGTAGGACTTTAATCGTTGAACAAACGAACCTTTAATAGCGGCTGCACCATTGGGGTGTCCTGATCCAACATCGAGGTCGTAAACCCCCTTGTCGATACGGGCTCTAAAAGGGGATTGCGCTGTTATCCCTGGGGTAACTTTGTTCGAAGATCGGGTATTCCGGGTCTATTATGGTTAGAAGTTCTAATTATTAGAGGTGTGGCTCTTGGTTTTGGGAAGAGTCTTCCTACTCCTCGGGAGAGTTTTTTAGTTTCTCCTGGTCGCCCCAACCGAAGACAGGGAAGCAGGGTTTCACTGGTTAATAACTTGTTTATGACAAGGTTAGTTCGTGGGCTGCTTTAGCGTCTAAAGCTCCACAGGGTCTTCTCGTCTTATGGTGTAATCCCCGCTTCTGCACGGGGAGATCAATTTTATTGACTTTAAAGAGGAGACAGTTAAGCCTTCGTTATGCCATTCATACAGGTCTTCAATTAAAAGACAAGTGATTACGCTACCTTTGCACGGTTAGGATACCGCGGCCGTTAAACATGTGTCACTGGGCAGGCAATGCCTCCTATATACATAAAGTTTGCAGGAGGTGATGTTTTTGGTAAACAGGCGAGGCCTGAGGTGTTTGCCGAGTTCCTTCTCATTGGTTTAGTCTTTCCTTTATCACACGCTGGTGTAAGATTAATGGATGATTGTTGGTTGTTTTTCTAGTAATCTATTAGTTATTCAATCCCCTCTTTTTTTGGGGCCATTAATTTTCGGTTGGGGTTTGTTTCGATTTACACTTGTGTGGGGAGAGAGGCGAGCTCTCTTATTACTCATATTAGCATAATTACTTTCATGTGGGCATGAAAAAGCCTGGTAGTATTAGAGGAGTTAGATTGGCTATCGTAATAAGGGGTGGAAGGGGTATTTGAGCTTTGACGCTTTCTATAAGGATGGCTGCTTTTAGGCCTACGAAAAGTTGGTACCTTGATTATTATGATCTTTATCCTTCTGATAAAGTTGTATCTTATGTTAAAGGAGCTGTTCCCCCTTTAACTTACGCTCTCGGTGTTCTTTAGTAACTGTCTGGGTGTGATAGTGTGTAGAGAAGCTGGGAGGCTGAACTTATATTCAGTTCTCAGGCAACCAGCTATAACTAAGTTCGGTAGATCTGTCACCTCTACTCGGAGCTCTCCCCACTCTTTTGCCACAGAGACGGGTTCGCCCTATTATTAGGCTGTCTCGGAGTAGCTCACTTAGTTTCGGGGAAACAAACTATAGGTCTCTTTGCTTGGGGTGTCTAACTAATTCATGATGCAAAAGGTACGAGGATGAGTCTCTGCTTTTTTTTGCTTGACTGATTTGTTTCATTTCTTTTTCAGCTTTCCCTTGCGGTACTTTTTCTATAGCTTAAATTTCTTTTTCTGTCGCACATACTAAATGGGTAGAATGATTTATTGGTTTTTTGGGTAATTAATGTGGGGTTATTATTAATTGTTTGTTGTTTTTGGTTAGAAGCTAGCTGTTTGGCATCAAAACGATTTGATTTGCACAAATATCTCTTCAGTGTAAGGGAAGGGCCTTGACTTTTAAGCTACGTTTTGATTATCCAAGTGCACCTTCCGGTACACTTACCATGTTACGACTTGTCTCCCCTCTTTGGCTGATAGTGTTTTAGTTAGGGTGATGTGATTGTTTGGGGAGAGTGACGGGCGGTGTGTACGCGCTTTAGGGCCGGTTTCAATAGAACACTCTATTTTCTATTTACTTCTAAATCCGTCTTCAAATGTGTTTTCAGTTCATTTTTCGTATCTGCTAGGGTTAGAGAATGTAGCCCATTTCTTCCCCCCTCATTCGCTACACCTCGACCTGACGTTTTGGGGAGGGACCAATTTTGCTTACTGTTGAACCCTTAGGGGTAAGCTGACGACGGCGGTATATAGACGGGAAAAGCAAGAGAGGGTGAGGTTTAACGGGGATTATCGGTTATAGAACAGGCTCCTCTAGGTGGGTCTTAAGCACCGCCAAGTCCTTTGGGTTTTAAGCTGAGGCTCGTAATTCCCAGGCGAATAGGGATATTAGGGTTTATTATTGTTTATGGCTATGCATAGTGAGGTATCTAATCTCAGTTTGTACCATAGCTTTCGTGGGGTCAGATTATATAAAGCTACTTTCGTGATAGTACTTCTTATGTCTCGGGTGCGTATAACAGCGAGGAGAAAATTTGGCTTTAGTTTGGGATTTTCTTAACCACTCTTTACGCCGTCTGTCATCAACTTGAGTCTCTTGTATAACCGCGGTGGCTGGCACGAGTTTGACCGACCCTTTTAACTTTAACTGAGTCAAGTTTTCACTAATGGCTTAATGTTTATCACTGCTGGTTTTCCTTGGGGATGTGGCTAAACAAGGTGTCTTGGGCTACAGGGAGTGTGCCTGATACCAGCTCCTCTACCCTGAACGAGGGTTAAGGGCATTCTCACGGGGGTGCGGATACTTGCATGTGTAAGTTTAGTTATAGTTGATGATAAAGCCAGGACCAAACCTTTGTGCTTTCGAGGCTTTTTAGGCCTATTTTAACATCTTCAGTGTTATGCTTTAATTTAAGCTACGCTAGC